ATGCATATAGGGAACTTGAAAAAAGCAAAGAACATTGATAGTACTCTATTAGGAAGTCTTCATCAACATTTTTGAAACTTGGTGCATTGCTGGTCTTTCATGTGGATTGGAGTTCAAACAAGCTCTTGCAAGACTCACGGTACTTCAATTGTTTCTCAACTTGTGGTGAGGGTAGCGGAATCTGATTATCTTTGTAACAACCCGATATTTCAAGTTAATGTAATAGTCTAGGTCAACCATTGTAACTAGTTTTAAAGTAATAAAAAGAAATTATTTGAATATTATATGCATTTATATATTTTTAAAGATGTAATAAAAATGATTGTCAAAAATAAAATGTTAAATAAACTTGATTGGGATGAATAAAGTGGTAGAGATTGTTATAAAGATTCCGAAAATATAAAGAACACCGAAATCCGGTTTATAACAAAGAAGTTATGACCTATCGAAGTTCCGCGACAAAACCGGCAAAACGTTGTGTAACGTAAAAAGTGAGTTTACAATAAAATGCTTTTTAGCCTTAGATGTCTAAATGAAAGTCGTAGAATACCTTAAACCGCGAACATACATAAAAAGAACGTCCAAATCTGACTTCGTATGAAGAAGTTATGATTTTTCTAAGATTCAACATAGTAGTACACAACCCGAAATTCGAAATAAAGATCGAGCAATTTTTGGCCGACACAACTAAACGAGAATCGAAGGTCTCGTCAATAGTAGTACAACGATAAAAAGATAGACAAAAACGGACGTCGGATGAAGAAGTTATGAATTTTTAACGGACTTTTCTTGTCCCGGCCTGTTAAAAATACAACTTTAAAAATAAAGTCAAAATTAGCCGACGGAGTCTAAACAAAAGTTGTAGAGCATACTCTCACCTACGCGTGGATATAAGGAACTTCAAAAACGGAGTTCGTATGCGAAAGATAAGAATTTTTGAAGTTTGGAAAAGAGAAGTACACCCCGCGTACAAGAGTACGCCCAGCGTACTCGGAAGCTAGGCCTCGGATTGACCATGTCGCCTCTTTCTTCGCATGCGACACGTGTCTCGCTCAATCAACATGTCTGAAGCCTGGTAGCCACTACGCCCCACGTACAAAAAGACTACGCCCAACGTAATCGAACTAGCCTCGACGCGTACCTCGTAGCCTCGCCACGTCCAAAGATTGGATAAGGCTCAAAGTAATACGCCCCGCGTACGAGATGTACGCCCAGCGTACTGAGGTTTTCAGTTGTACGCCCAGCGTACATGAATATTACGCCCAGCGTAATACTGGACCTCAGCCTCCTATAAATAGGATG